ATAGACAATAGTTACAAATCAAGATATGAAGCAATTTCTTCTTCCGCCATATCTCCGAACTTTTAACGTGTCAAATTAATCTAGATAAAATTTAAATATTATGGTGTATTTGTTCACTTCGTAAAAACATTTTCCAGAAAACTTTCCGGAGTTTTGAATACTCGCAGAAAGACAAAGTTCAGTGGTAGTTGTGTCGGCCAAGTGAGACTTTTCCTTTTACTGATTTTCTTTTTAATTTTATATTTTTAACTGCATTTTATAAATGTTTATTTCAAACGGTCTGTGGTTAATGGTTTAAATAACTTTCTTCTAATATCAATAATTTTTTGCAATTTTGACTAATTTGGCGGTACGCTATTTAATTAATACCACGGCCACTAATTGGTCGGCAACAGAGTTCTCTGTAATTTTCATATTAACGCAATAGTTGTATGCATGTATACACATATTTAAGAATACCCTACTGTCTGCTAATTTCATTTATTGTTAATAGTAAATAAACAAAAACCTACACTTAGACGCATTCTCACACACACAAGGATGATGATGATGATCGTCATCAGTCAGTTAGTCAGTCACTTAGATAGACAACCATTTCAATTACATTTAGACTGAATGACTGACTAACTGACTGCCTGCCTGACCGACTGAGAGATATGACAGAGGAGAAGGTAGTCGTAGCAGTAATACACGAAATGCTTGATTGTGCGACGAGGTTGTTGTTGCTGCTTCTGCTGCTATGATAGTCAGACATGCATGAAGAGCATTTAACTGTTTATAAAGTATTATGCAAATGTTCAATGCTGTTTTTAGCTGATTATTATTGTTGTTGCAGTTGTTGTTGTTGTACTAGCTCTTCAACTTTATTGTTGTTGCCGTTTTATAACTACAACATAATAATGTACTGTTGTATGTTGTTTTTTTTCTGTTCTTGTTACTTTTGCCGTTGTTATTTTGTTTTTAACTGTTTTCAACTCTCTTCAGACTTGATGTTCCTCTTCTTGTTTTTTTTTTTTGTGTTAAACATGTCTGTGCATTATAATTAGTTAAATAATTTTTTCTAATTCTACTACAAAGTTTGTTTTAGTTATTTTTTTCCACTGTTTCATCATTAACTGAGTATTTCATACGAATTTGCCGTTGATTTGATCAACTTTTTAGATTTGTTGGGGTTTTTTCCTGTTGTTTGATCACTTCTTGCAGTTTTGATTCGATCGTGGATTTCGTTTGTTTTGCTGGGGATATGCATACATTCTCATCGAAAATGAAATGATTTCCGAAAATAATTATGACTCAATAATGTGATGCTAAAAACTGGAAGTATGTTTTTTTTTAATTTTAAGCTTTGAAATATTGTGTTTTTCAAGGTTAATGAGTTCGTAATTAGAATGTTTTGGTTTGGAATTTTCTTTAGAAATTAGCCGAAGCAAACATTAGAGAGTAATCATAATAAATAGTTTTGGGTAAAATTTCGGAAGCAAACTATTTTGTGGTTTATGAAACAAACGATTCCACATAAATATGTGTTGGGGGGAGAATTATGTTAATATGGTGCATTAACCCTTTCAGTGTTTTTGTCGACTATATTCGACATTTAAAAATTATCTCCTTCTTTGCGATTTTACGATTATCCTATGTACCATTAACATTGATGTTTTTGTTTTTGCTGAAAAACAGACGAAACTGTCCAAGGGTTAAAATGAAAATTGATTTTTTTCTAAACTCTATGCCTTAATATGATTTTAAGTCCTGATTTATATTAGGCGAGTTTAATTGCGGCAATTATTATCGTTCCCTTTTGAACTTGCTTCATGCGTCTATACAAGGCAATTCGGTTTCAAAAATATTTCTTTTTTCATTTGATGTCAATAGTTTTTTCACATTTAAATAAATATAAAATGTCAAGAAATACGAAATACACAAAACGAATTCCAGAAAATTGTCGGTACGAGCAATTTTTTTTTCCATTTCTATTCCCCTTGCCCCTCTCTCTTACAGTCAATAACTTCCCGCAAGTAAACTCGCCTAATCTAAATTGGGACTAAGTACAAAATTGTAGATTTTTATTCCGACAAAAAATTATTTTGACACTGAAAGGTTTACCATAATTCTCAGCAACGTATACAATTATATTATGAGGATATTATATTGGGACTTTCAAGAGGTCTAGTTTTAAATTACTTAGAAATGTCGGTAGCTGTTAGCTTGGAATTTGGAACATTGATAAAAAAATTCTATTGACGTCGTTATATATTTAAATATTTACGAGGCCATGAAAAACTAAAATAAGGTTCGACATTTGTCTTCACACTAGAAGCAGCGATTTTGTTTGAAGCTAATCCTAAATGCCAAACTACGGGCCCTTCGTTAAGAAAATGGGACTAAACACTTAAAATATGGACCTATTTTGCCATTTTTTTTAATAATTGGGATTGCTAAATTACAGCAGCATTGGTTGAAAAATACCGAGAGTTGTTTGCTTTAAAATTGATATCAATTATATGGCTGTATGTACTCTGATGTGGGAGTTATATGTAATTAGGTAAAGATGACTATGTGCATAGTATTACTATTACTCCATTAGAGGACGATTATGGTCAAGGACGAAGCCTATAGTCTTCGGTGAAATTGAGATTTCATTCAGGGGGTGCAATGAACCGAAAACTTTAATTTTGTCAGATTTTCTAGTCGCTCCAGAGGCAATTATTATATGCAGAACATCACATATTTTACAGGGTGAAGGGGATCTGACAATAAAATTAGAGCGGCTGTTTAGATGATGATCGGTCAATATTGCGAGGGTCAAATCAACCAAAACCTAAAGCGACCAATTTTTTGAAAATATGCCAGGGTTAGAAAGTGGAGTTGTTGATCTATATTCGGTAAGGGTGCAAATATCACCAAATATTACCTAGGCTCAGAATATAGAGTCGCAGAAAGTTTGCTTTTCGTGCTAGTTGTGTAGGGTATCATATGGTCGGCCCCGTCCGACTATACTGCTTCGCCCACTGTTTTTTTCTGAATTTAAATATATATGAGTTTTTATATCCTACACAATTATGTTGTCAGGGTATTATAGCTTTGTGCAGCCCCAAGAGTTTTTAACGCCGCGGAATATTGGTCCCAGACCCACCTTTAAGTATACCGATCATAATATCTCGACTAGCTAAGTCGATCAAGACATGTGTTTTCGTCCGGCCCACAGTCTGTCATTTATAATTTGTAAACACCATAATTATGAACTAATCGTCACGAAATTTTGCATGTAGGCCTACTTCTGGCCAAATAAGACCTCTATTGTTTTTTGGTAACTATCGCTTACTTTTTAGAGGATGAAATGGAGGAAAAAATTTATAGGATTTTCTGGTCGCTCTAGAGGTCAAAATTATGACCCGCTCTAGACGCCACAGTGAGCCGAACATCACAAATTTTTCATGGGGAAGATAATCTGGCCTACTAATTGGAAGGGCAGTTTTTATAATGATCGGTCTATATTTAGCTCAAATGTGCATGATATGGCGTAAATTTTCACCTCGGGATTTTTTTTTTTTTTTTGCTCAAGCTTGGAGTATAGATCCGCAGAAAGTTGGAGTTGTGTATTATATCGTCGGTCTCGTCGGACTACACTGCTCCGCTCACTTCTTATGTATGAATATATTAAAGAAGAGTTTTTAAAGAGGAAATTTAAGTGGGAATTGACTTATGAACTCTGAAGGAATCTTTCTGTAAAGTGAATTTTTTGTATGAAGAATTTAGCGAGGAATCTCTGGGCTATTAGCACGGATTTCGTGTGGAAGGAATTTCTGATTTTTTAATGAGTTTTTTTTTTTTAACTGAGGATTTTAAATGTGATAGAGCTCGCAATATTAAAGATACAGCTGTGAAATTTTCCACATACATTGTTACTACTCCTAGGATATTTGGTGAATAAAATTATACATCGGTAACGATTTCTTATATCCACCATATGATGACAATTCGGTATTTAGATTATAAAGTTACCCCACATTATTCAGAATTTTGGGCACATTTTTCAACCGGTTTGACTCCAATTTGATTCTTTGGATTGTCATTGATTGGTGTTCCACCCAAAAAGTTATCATAAAGCCCCCACATTAAATTAAATAACCACCTCATGGTGGAAGGTATAAAAATTACACACAGTCGAACTTAACGATGTTTTACCTTTGTTTTCAAATATTTGACATCAGAAATATAGTGATAATCTTTATTTTCTCAATTTTTATTTATTTCTTTTTGACTTCTTTAAAATGCTTTTAATAATTGGTATTCGCTTTTGTTGTTGGCAAGGTTTGCATATAAACAAATTAAACAAAATTGAAAAAAAAATAATTACGAATAATCGGAACTCAATTCGTGTCCACAATCCTCAACAATATATTGAGGACTTGTTATAATTTTAAAGCTTAAAAACTCAACCGTGTATATTTAGGTTTCAAGGTACCCTCAGGGTAAATAAAGCGAAAATCGCTTTATTAAATATTTTTTCTAATTAAAATCATTATCAGCAATTTCAATAAAAACTCTGATTCTATCTATAGAGTACTCGAATACAATGCACAGCAAGCCAAACAACTTCACAATTTTAGCAGAGGAGTAGCAATACAAAGCCGCTTAAAAACAAAAAAACAAGGTTGCGTTACGTTGCTTCGCTTTGGCGAATGACATCATAATTCATTGAATCGAGCACACATCGAACGGCAGCGGCTTTGGCAGCAGCAGAAAAGCAAAACGGCCATATCGGCAATCGGAAACACGACAACCAGAAATACGACAAAACAGAAAAAAAACAAACATCAACTTGTAAAAAATGAGAGCAAAACTTGTCAGCTAAGCGCTAAATGGTGATAAATTATTTAGATGCTGTGCAAAACAAGATTGACATAGATTTCGTAGAGATGTTTTTTTTTTTAAATAGAAAACTCAAATAATAAGAAATAAATATAATAAAGATGAAAACTTGGCTTTCAAATATTTACCTTTTGCTTCGGATAATCCATTGAGCAGGCTTAATCCAATTATGGTAAGGCTTAAGAGAAATTTCCCAAAATTTATATTACTCATATTTAAACTAGATTTTTGAAGAGGAGGAAGAAAAAAAAACGGCGAAAAAAATTAAAACACAAAATTACACACACATAAACACAATTTTTTTAAGCACCAAATAAAAAAAGAAACACACACACAAAATATATAACACAAAATCCATAAACTTTTTTTTTCAAAATATTTTATTTTATTGTGGGTTTACTTTGGGCCACACATGAAATGTGTTAAAGCTCTTTTTCACATTTTTCAGTTGCTTATTTTTTTTTTACTCGAGGCTATATTTCAATTTGTTATGGCCACTTTTTGCTAGGAAACAGCAAATAATGAAAATATAATTTTTTTATTTCCTATATGAATTTCCTTATTGCCTTCTTTTTTTAATTCGTTTAGAAAACTTCTTCGGCAGTATTTTTTTAATAATTCTTCACTTTACACATTTTTTTCAGAATTATTTTCTAGTTGGTTTTTTATTTTCTGTTGTTTACTTCACCCCTTGTTACCACTCTCTTTGACGTACATTTGGTTTTTATTATTTATTTATTTTTTACGTTTTCGTATTACTTGTTGTTGTTACCCGTTTTATTGTTACGTCTACCGTTTATTTGTTGTTGTTATTTCTTTTGATGTTGTTGTTATTGTGTTCTCTTCGATCGATCGCAACCCAAAGCCCAACAAAGGAACACACTCAAAGAAAACACGTCTTTATCCTCAAGCAGTTACACGCCAACTGAATTTTAAAAATTGGCCAGAAAAATGTGGCAACAGTTTGATGGATTTGTGTTGATCGTTGTCGTTCGTGGTGACTATGTCGGTGCTCAAATGTTTGTTGTTGGTAATTTAGCCGGTTTAATGAGACGGAGAGAGGGAGATTGAGAGAGAAATTGTTTAAAACTTGTTTTAATTGCACAGCTGATGGTTGCTGTTTTAGTGTCGAATGTGTTGTGCGTTGTCAGCGAGGGAATGTAAACTGTGGTGAATTTCAAATAATGGAGTTGGCCCAAAATGGCCAAGAGAGCAAGAGTATTTTGCAATTGTTAATATTAGTGAGAGAAAGAGTTAATATTAGTGAGAAAACAGTGTTGTTAAGTTTGGTTTTTATTTTAGAAAAAATCGTCAGAAATATAAATTGTTGACCATTATGTGCGCTTGTGTCTTAAGTCTTTTGTTTCAATGCAATGCACTATAGTAAAGAGGGTATATTAAGTTTGTTTTTTTTTTTCAAATTGTATCTCATCGAAATGTTTGAAATGTTTATTTTCAACAAACAAACGTGCTTACGCTTGTATCTTAAGTCGTTTGTTTCAATAAACTGCACTATAGTAACCAGGGTATATTAAGTTGGTTTTTTCCATTTCTATCTCATAGAAATGAGCATTATCGACCCTATATATATTAGGCCGAGCCAAATTTTTTGTCCATTAAATCCAGCCTCTAGGGTGATTGTATGGATAATTCTAAGCAACTTTGGTGAAGGAACCCTATAAAAATGATTTTTCCCTATAACATCATTTTGATTCAAAATTCGATTTTTTATTCGTCGCTATATTATCTATTTATACCCCCCACCATAGTATGGAGGGTATATTAATTTTGTCATTCCGTTTTTAACTCACCGAAATATTCATTTCCGACCCTGTAAAGTGTATATATTCTTGATCAGGGTAAAATTCTAAGACGATCTAGCCATGTCCGTCCGTCTGTTGTAATCACGTTATCTTCCGAAGGAATTGAGAGAGGGTGCTGAAATTTTGCATAGGGTTGACTTTTGTCTGCAGGCAGGTCAAGTTCGAAGATGGGATATATCGGTCCACGTTTAAGCATAGCTCCCATATAAGGGTACCCCCAATTTTCGGTATTTTGGAGTTCTTTAGCGCTTTTTTCAACCGAATTCGCTGAAATTTGGTACCTTGTGTTCTTATTGGGTGCTAAATGTCTCCACAAAAAATTATAAATATAGGTCCACTTTTTCTGGTAGCCCCATATAACGGTACCTCCTAATTTTCAGTATTTTGGGGGTTTTGGTCGTATTTTTCCACCGAACTGGCTGTAATTTAGTACTTTGAGTCCTTAATGGGTTTCAAATCACTCCACAAAAAATTATGCATATAGGTCCATTTTTCTGGTAGAACCCCATATAAGGGTAAAATTTTCGGTATTTTGGGGTTCTTGAGCGCGTTTTTCAACCGAATCCGCTGAAATTTGTTACATTGGGTTCTTATTGGGTACCAAATATTTCCACTCGAAATTATAAATATAAGTCAATTTTTTCTGGTAGCCCCCTTATAAAGGTGCCCCCAAATTTCGGCATTTTGAGGTTCTTGAGCGCGCTTTTCAACCGAAATCCCTGTAATTTTGTATTTTGTAGCCGTATATGGAAACACATCTCCCTACCAAAAATTATTAATAGTCAACCCCTTTTAGGCGTAGTCCCCACATTTTGGGTTTGGTGTTTTGGGTTTGGTTATAACACTCTGTTGTAATCATTTCACCTGCGAAGGATATCGAGATAAAAAACTAGAACGTACGGTTCGATGATGAACTATATGTGAACTATAGCCCGCATTTAGGATTAGCCGTAGCACCTGTGTGGGAGGTACCAGAAGGCATGGACCGGACTTGAACTAAGTTTGGAAGACATAATAAAATGGGATAAAATCAATTTTTTCTGAAACGGATTTGGTCCAAAGAAACATGGGGTCTAGAACCAATATTTCGATGAGGCACATTTTCACCGTGTGATAGTGTATACACACTAATTACCCATAAGGCTGGGGGTATAATTTTCTATTAAAATTATTGTTTACATAATCGGTTTGTAGATATGTCGGTATAGGTCCATTTTTTTGTACGTTCCCTATATTTTCATTTCAAGTATCTGCCAGTATATCTATGGTGGAGGGTATCCAAAGTTCGGCCCGGACGAACTTAACGCTTTTTCACTTGTTTATGTATATGTGGGGGTTTTTGGTCGATAAATTAATTTCTGATCTTCATTTTGAGCTATGAACACCGCCAGATGGCGTTTCATACAAATTTGACTTTTCTGAAAAAATTATAAGTTTTTCCGTAAAATTGATCTTTATTTTATATTTTCCTCGGTGTTCCGAATTCAACTGAAACCTGAAAAATAAAGAAATTAGATGTATTAAATGAAATCTTACCATTTAATAATGGAAACAGTTGGTAATGTAACTTTTCTCAGAAAATAGAAGAAAACCAGTGAGCGGAGCAGTATTGTCAGACGGGGCCGACCATACGATACCCTACACAACTACCACAGAACTCTATCTTTCTGCGGATTCTGAATATCACCAATATTCAGTACAGCCCTTCTAATGTTGTGATATTCGGTTTATAATTGTATCGAAAAAATCGAAAAAAAAAAACAAAAAAAAAAAAAAATAAGTTTTCGGTCCACTACATCCCAAAATTAGTATTTGATCATCGCCGAAAAATAAAGGCGTTGTCCTTGACCAACTCTGGAACCTCTTGGAACATTTCAAAGGGATAAGCGCTATATTTTACGCCCTCTAGTGTAGTAATGATTTATTAAAAAAATATCTGAATACGTAAGCACCTGTATATATTTACGTGTAACTCCTACAACCTAGTACATACGACAATTCAATTTATAGGCCAACCATTCCTCTTGGATGTGTTATCAACTTTTCGGGTATATATCCTTCAGGAGTAAATATATAGGCCATAGAATACAAATTTTGTCCGTTTTCTCTCAAAAGTTAGGGTCCATTAGAGCCGCTAAATATTGACCCATCTTTATCAAAACAGCCATGCTTATTCTTTGGCCCAATCCCCTTCTCCATATAAAAATTCGAGATGTTTGGGCCATTACTGCGGCCTCTGGAGCGACCAGAAAAACCGACAAAAATTAAGTATTTGGTCCATTTCATCCCCTAAATATTACCCGATCTTTACCAAAAATAATAGGGGTCTTAATTGGGCCGAACCCATGCATGTGCATCGTGTTTACAAATTATAATGGACGGACGGAAGGACGGACACACATGATCGACTCAGTAGTCGAGATATGACAATCGGTATACTTAAAGGTGGGTCTAGGATCAATATTTCACGGCGTTGCAAACTCTTGGGGCTGCACAAAGCTATAATACCCTGACAACATAGTTGTGTAGGGTATAAATAGTTATAGTTCTGATTAGGTTCTAGCCAAAGACGAAATCTATTTTTTTTGTCAGATATAAGATGAAATGGACCAACAATTTTATTTTTGTCTGGTTTTCTAATCCATCTTGAGATCATCCCAAACATAACGAAATTTAACAAAAAGAAGGGAACCGGACCAACTAATAATTATGGTACCTCCTCGAAAGGGTTTAAAGTTTAGCAATTGTAAACGAAATGATTTCGAAATTAAGACCTATGAACATTTCCGAAATAAAGCCCTCCTTCACAAATTGTCAATATTTAGAAATTTTTTCCATTTTTATTATTACTTGTCTCTGCCTGTTAGGTCCAATAAATTTTAAGAATAGCTTAAAAGTAAACCTCGTAACTTTCTATGAGACAAATTGGCTCACATCCCTAAAAATATGTATACCACATTCTACAATCCAAAATGAGGTAGTCTGAAGGGAAGGAAGCATACACCTTTGTATATGGCACTTCCGCAGTCACTTACACGACTTTCGGAGGCAAAACAATAAAATGTTAATTAATCAAATACAAGTACTATTAGTGGTAAATAATTCAGGGCCTCAGTTTTTTATATTTGGAGACAACGGTCACTGACGCGACTTAAAATATACATGACTTTGGTCATTATTGATTATAATGGGAAAACTCTGCGAATTTTGTAAACATTTTGAACTTTAAATGATCTTTAAATATATAAGAACGATCAAGCATTATTATTGCACTTTCGAAATTTCAAATATTGTCCTGTCCATTTTTTGCGAAAATATTTTCTGTTTCACTCACGTGACATTTTTATATTCTGCACCACACTGTGGTGTGCACTGTTTTTGTGCATATGTTTGTAACATGCTAAAGGAAACGAGATAGACACATGGTTCCTTTTGAGAATATGCATAGAATCACTTTCTAAATCGACTTATGCATGTCCGTCCGTCTATCCGCCTGTCTGTCCGCCTGTCTGTCCGCCTGTCTGTCCGCCTGTCTGCATTATTGATTCGAATTGGATGAAATTTGGCACAGTTCATTTATTTGGCCTAAGGACGAACCCCATTGAAATTGGGAAAAATCGGTTCAGAGTTAGATATAGCTTCCATATATATTTTCGTCCGATTTAAGGTAAATAGAGCAGAAAAGTTCATATATATCTTACGATTTACACGAAAAGTGGCACACCAAAGTCCCTATATATCTTTCGATTTGGACGAAATTTTACACAGCATAATTAATTAGGTCTGGAATGATGTGTGCTAATGTTTCCCTATTGAAATTGGGAAAAATCGGTTCAGATTAAGATATAGCTCCCATATATATTTTCGTCCGATTTAAGGTAAACAGTACAGAAAAGTCTCTATATATCTTTCGATTTGCGGGAAATTGTGCACAGTGTACTGAATTAGGCCTGGAATGATGTGTGCTAATTTTCGTGGAAATCGGTTCAGATTTAGATATAGCTTCCATATATATTTTCGTCCGATTTAATGTAAATGGTGCACCAAAGTCCCTTTATTACTTACGATTTGCACGAAATTTGGCATAGCGTACTGAATTAAGTCTAGAAAGAGGTGTGTTAAATTTCTTGAAAAACGGTTTAGATTTAGATATAGTTCCCATATACATTAATTTGTCTGTAAATCGTTTTCCATAAATTTGTCCCATGGCACGCAGGCGAGTTTAAATCTGCCTAAATGAAATCAAAATTATTATAGGTTGCAGAAAGGGAACATTGGCATGCAATTGTAAGGATATATATGTTCTATATAACAAAAGTGGTGAAGGGTATCATATAGTCGGTCCAGTCCGACTTTACAACTTTCTTTACCGGATTATTTTACATTAGTATTTATGCTAAGAACGAGAAGGAAAGAATGACCTTTCTGGTCTTTCTTTGTACTTTTTTTAGTCCATTTGAACCCCTAAGTATTATCCGATCTCCGTCTTTGTTTATAACCATAACTTCAAGGGAAATTTCATAACCATCTTCACGACATTTCAGCTCAGGTTAGTGACTGGTTTGGTAATGGGAATAATAAATAATATCAGAATACATAGACACCTGCACATATTAATGTGTAGGTCCCCCATCCGAGTAAAGTTCAGCCACTTCTCTTGGATATACATTCAAATTCTCTGGTCTTTGTCCTTCAGTAGTAAATATACACGCCATAGACAATATATTTGATCACTTCTCAACAAAAATGTTGGGTCCATTTGACTCGTTAAATATTGACCGGTCATCATCAAAAAAGTCATTGTTATTCATTGGCGAGATTCCATTTCTCGCGTTGTTCAGGCCATAATTGTAGCCTCTATAGCGATCAGAAAAACTGACAAAAATAAAGTTGTTCGTCCATTTTATTCAATTAACCGATCATTACCGAAACAATAGAGTTCTTTTTTGGCCAGAACCCGTCCAACTTGCAAAATTTCATAATGACATTGGCAAAATAATGGCGACCATTTGTTGATGTTATATGATAAATTATCTGAATATGATTAAAAATCGAATTTTCAAATAATAGCAGCATTTTAATAAATTTGAAAATAACAATATTTCTCACAGCAATATATCTTCTGAGCAAGAATCATGTAAAAGTGTGAGGGGACTATGAAAACGTGCGTTATTGTCTTTGATGGCCCTATCATATGAGCGACATGTTTGTAGAATATTTAGAGCTGACAAAATCTGGTCTTGTAGTATTTAAATTACGATTCAAGAAAATATTGACATAAAAGACTTACAAGCACAAGGGCTTTCATCCCATAATGAATAATTGTATAAAAACCCCACTGGTACCTCACTATTTACTTAAATTGGCTTATTACACGGCAACTACATTAGAGCCTTTTACCGGGTTAACCTACTCAATGAAGTTTTATTTACAATGGAATTGACAATTGGAACCCACTTGAGTTAACGAAATCCGGTACAATGTAAACGTACTATTAAAATGTATAATGAACAAGTTATGCCACTAATGTAATATATATGTAATTAATAATATAATTATTTATTAATATTAATAACCATTATCAATACATCCAGCAACTGGACACTCGCATAACTTTCGCATTCTTCCTATTCTCCTTCATGACTGCAGCAATCTAACGGCAAATGACGTGCCAAACACTTTTAAGGTGCTACCGGTAATTTCCACGTTATCAATTTGAAGTGAATGGAATCGTTACACTTAGAATCAAATCACCATAAAATTATGGATCCTCATAGTGGTTGCGGAAGAAAATCACTCTCAACTACGTCTCCACCTGTAGAATATATCTGAAACGAAAACTAATTTCAACATTGGCTAAACCATCGCCATTATCATTAGGCGGCAAAAGATTTAGATTTTACTGACCATAAATGGATTATGGTTGCATGTTCTCGAAATCCAAGAAAAAGGAAAAAAGAAAACAATAGTGACGATTTACACGAGATTACTAATTACTATTTTATGGCCATTAGTTGGTGATTCAACACAAATTGCATGTTTGAAATTCTTATAGATGACTTTAATTAATTCTAATACCGAACATTAATAAATATTCTTAACGGAATGTATTTGCAAATTGTCTTATGGTGTAATTGAATTTAATAATATGTATGTAAAAATTATTGTACTGGACATTAGTTAATAATTTGAAGGGGACATAGAACTATAAAAATTATTTTAAAGAAAAAAAAAATAGTCTTTAGATCGAATTTAAAAGATAGGTAGAATCGATTATTTAAGATCGACATAAAACTGGCAAATAGTCTCTGCATCGATGAGCTAAGGAAAATGAAAATAGAATATAAGAAGTTATACATTTAAAAGACCAGCAAAGGTATTTGAGATCATCAGGTAAACAATAGAAAGAAAATCTGACGGTTTCGGATAGACTTACTGATTTAATTATAGAAATTCGGAAGGATTCGATAGCGTAAACGGTATTCTTGTAGGAAT